AGACCCAATCATAAGCTTATTCAAATATCATATGTTGAAATGGTTAATGATTTCTCATGGGCTATGACCCATGATTCTGTAAGTTTAGTTCTTTTAATTCAAATGGTCATTTCTAAGTATGAAGGTACTATCATATTTGTGAATTTTCGTTAGCTTAAAAGAAATTTACTTGTGACAATAAATTTACATTTCATATGAGGTATACACCCCAAAAAAAACAACATAAATAAATATTATGCAAAAATCACTCCGAGCTTTCATTATCATATCCCGAAATGACATTATTATAACCGATACAGTAGAACATCCACAAAGCGTTCTATCAGGTCTATCAATCAACGTCAAAAAAATAATCTAAGCACACTATCCAAACAATTTGTATATTTCTCTAATTTTATTAATAAGCCTATATGAGCACCAACAGATTACCAAAAATTATATATAGTAACGAGGAGGATCAATATCATATCCCACTTACTTCATACAAGGCTTGGTCGCTGAAACACAATATATAGGGAGATAACCTTACAACATAAACATTTACCGAAGAATGAGTTTAGTTATAGGCTACTTATCCATTAGGCATCATACCTAAGGGGTGACATACTACTGCCAATCCCATTCAATTATGCTAATATTGAAATACCAAGCGAGTTATGCCTATGGAATAATGAGCTAAACTTATCATTTAATAATGGTTCGCGTTAGAAGGACGTGATATAATGTATTCGAACAATACATTTATAATATATCAATTATTCACGGCAAAGATACATGGATTTTTCCATTATATCAAATGTCAATTTTGGCCCAAAAAAATAAGACGAAATGATATCTTAATATAGCCGAAATAGTAATTAGTTAAATCAATTAGGCTGCTCTAATTTTCACAAGGCTACGATTATCGCAAACTTCCCTTACAACATAAATATTACTACTCCATTCCAAACCTCTCACTTAGGCTTAGACTATTCACTCATTTACAGTAAACACACAGCCATGTGACTGATTATATTCATAATATATGCAAACTCCCTTATGTACATTCAAATAGTTTCAACCAAATACTCCCTAGCTTATCTAATAACCGATACACGTAGATTATTAGGTCATCCAACAAACTGAAAAATTACCTAGAAATATGACTGAATATTTGCATGAAAACTATGATTTATTAACAATCAATTTACATACTTACATAAAAACATAATGGAGATAATTTAGTTCACTGTCAAGACTGCACAAGACTAAAAGTACAATGTCATAAATAAGAAGCAGTATTCTGTGTGCGACTATTAATGCAAAGGGCAGCAATAGATGCAGCAGTGATAATCTACAACTAGTGATATTAGTTTCATACAATGTCCGAAAGACAGTGTCTTTGCACCTTCAACACGGCTGTCGAAGAAAAACCCATACACTCAGACTTCCCTTAAAGTCAAGCAAAATGGGGAGACCGGGACTATGGAGTTGAGTACAACGTGTGAACCCGTACTCCGATCAAATGCCACCGCCCAATTACACAATTCACGAATGACAACAAAACAGTTGATGGCACAAGAGCTTGATGGCCGATCTATCTGCAAAGTATTAATAGAGTTATGTGTATCAAGCACAAAATCCCTACCAAAGCTGCATGATTACCATAAAGGTCTAAATATTATCTGACAAAAACCACACAACAACAATTTCGACGATTCTGATTACTAGCCAAAAAAGGACAGATTGGATACTTCTGCAGATGAAACCGACGTCATATTAAAGAAATAAACCGCACACATTGAAAGGAATCAAAACACTTGTCAGCTGCTGCGAGACGAAAACTCAAACCTAGTCTGCAACAATACATTCAGTGAGGATCGGCACGAGTTCTAAACTCTCAACAATCCAAGACCGTTGATTTCCACAATTACAGACAACCAATCTCTTTGGTGCAAAGTAACTCTATATCTATAGAACTTATTAAACAGTCTGCATCTCAAGTCGAGGACGCCTGATATTCAGGATAAGACCCACGATGACTTACCCACTGAGTGCTTTACTTTGATTTCAATACGTTTCCCCATATACCACGCCTCACATATATCAGGTTATCTTAACTTCTTGGAGGACCTCGTGTCCTCTCCATCATTTTTACAATTCTTTCCGATTAGGACGTCTTATAACATCCTCATCCCATGATACCCCTGCTATCAATTATATTTTAGAATATTAGTCTTCAAACCCTACCGGACTATATCACACATCCCTTTACTTCAATTTAAGAATAAATATTCATCACGTTTGATAATCAAGACCGACCCCCTTTTGACTGAGCAGAATAGAAAACTCCAACAGATTGAATCAGCAACATTCCACATTCGTTGAACCAAAGCTATCAAATAATTACCGGCAACAACATTAGATAACATAATACTTCTACCAGTTGCTACACTATCAGACTAATTATTTGAGGAATTTCATTATTTACAATTCAAACTGTGGGTCTATGGATCGAGGGACCCTCGACGAGTAATCAACGCGACTATAACGCTTAAAATCAGCAATGCTAATACAGCAAGCCCACGAAAAGATATTACACCTATTCAATCCATATCTTCAAACACTCATTAAACGTGTAACAACCCACCCTTCTCATCTCTAATCTGTGAGGAAATCATCGTTTCCTTATATCAATTCACACAATTTTCAACAAGTTTAGCACCTAACTACCCATTTTCACATCACCAATTTTTAGAAAATGCTATACAGAAAACCAAGTTAACCACAGAGCGTTCATCAATAATGAACTCATTCACATACAAATTGTTAGGGAAGTTCACAGAGATAAAATTGCAAAAGTTGAGAGAGCATACAGGCCAAATCCTAGGCCTTGGCGGTTTGCCCACAAAACGAGAGCAGAAGAAGGGGGCGAAAACTCAAAAATGAACCGGAATGCAGAGTTTACCTAATATTCCTACTAACAAGCCCATTTCTAATCACCTCCTCCAAAATGATCATGTTTGAACTTTACGATATAAATCTGCATCAAAAACAAAGAAAACAGATAAAAAAGAGGGAGGTAGTCCTGGACTTAACCTGAGGAGGAGAGCGCGCCAGCTGGCGGAAGAACGGCGTGGCAATAAACTCGCGAACAGTGAGATCTGCATCTCGATCACTGACTTCCGTTTGGTTGCTCTGGTTTGCGAGAGGATTTGGGGATTTTTCATCTCGAGCTCGTCTCGATTAAAAACCTGGAGCAGTCAAAGCGCGAACGAACTGCTACGATCTCGTATCGTCGCGACGTTCTGTCCCGACCCATCCCGTATTTGCCAGAGTGTACACCAACCCCCCCCCACCCCCACCCCAGGGAACAGGGCTTTGTTTGTCCTAATTGTTATTCCAAGACTTAAAGTTTGCTTTGGTCGGCTGGTAGGGAAAAAGGAAGGGGAATGAGATTAATCTTATTTGGAAGTTTTATTGGGAGGGAATAGGAGGGAAATGAGGCGAAAATTTATAAAAATTGACAAGTTTCTTTTCTATCTCTATCTTTCATGACAAATTTTTAAAACCGACATGTTTTGAATTTTATTCCCAAAAAAAGACTCATTTCAAATTTAATTTCAAAAACCGACCCAGTTAGCTAAAACTGGGTCTGTTTTTGAAAAAAAAATTCCCAAACTTCACGGGAGTTGAAGTCCCGTGAAGTTTTTTATATAACAAAACCTCACGGGACTTCAACTCCCGTGAAGTTTGGGAACTTTTTTTTTTCAAAAACCGACCCAGTTTTAGCCAACTGGGTCGGTTTTTAAAATTAAGTTTGAAATAAGTCTTTTTTTGAGAATTTTTTGACAAACAGATTGGTTTTGAAAATTTGTCCCTATCTTTCATTCCCTTAAAAACAATATTGAATTATCCTCCCCAAACTGAAGATCTTTTTCGAACTTGAATTAAGATCAGAACTGTTTTCATCATTCTGTTCTCATAATTTGTCCTCCACCATCACAGCCTCCTGCGATCGCAAACCCAAAACATAACCCACCTCTTCCGATATCAGCAGTTAAAATACCGAAAACAACTTTTTTAACATTAACGTATCAAAGAGAAAAAATTCAAGTTAAAAGAGGGAGGGAGGGAGGGAGGGAGGGAGGGGGAGGAAGAGAGGGATCAGAGAGAGAGAGAGAGAACCTTGAGAGCAGAGATTTCAGTTTGAGTTGTTCCTTCGCCTCTTCCCCTTTTGTAGCCCTCATCTTCTCCCATATATTCAACAAATATCTCACCCTCCCTCATCACTTCCTCAGCCCCCTCAGCACTCCCTCGTCTCCACCTTACCGATCTCACCCAACTCCTCTTTGTTTTCGCCCAGTCGTCTCCCCTCAACAACTGTGCGGTGAAGAGGAGTGAGTTATCATCTCCTCGGCACTTCTGTTTGTTATTTGAGTTAAAACTCATAAAAGCCTCGTGGTTTGCCCTACCATGAAAATCTATTAAGCCATCAATCTATTAAGCCTCTATATTTTTTATTTTGAATCTATTTAGCCACCATGGTGTTCCTCTATAACTAAAAAATAGATTCTATTTTTTAGTTATAGAGAAACACCATAGGGGCGAAATAGATTCAAAATAAAAAAAAATATAGGGGCGTAATAGATTAAAATAATAGATTGAAGGCTTAATAGATTTACAGGGCAAACCACAGTGGGCTTTTCTGAGCTTGACGCCTTGAACTCTTGTTATTTTGCTCTTAGTCAATTTTTGAACCAAAATTTCCTAAAATAACCCTCCGCTGAGTGTTCCCACTTCGTTTGGGCCATAGATAGAGGAGTGAATTGATGACAGAGCACAGAAAAGTCAAAATTTTGCCCTTATTCTTACCAAAATAAGCCTCATCGTAAGCCTTCCCTAAAGTACCCTTCATTGGGCATATATAGTAAATAAAGAGGGCATAAAGGGAAAAGGAAAAAAAAAACCTATACAGCTTTTGTACAAGTATGTATATTGAATTTTCTTGAAATTTACAGATGACTACTAGCATATATTGTTTCTGAGAAAATAAAAGAAAACTATATGTCATCAAGAAAATCTAGTAAATAAAATTTACTAAAATGCTTCTTATAGAGGCTTCAGAATCTCATAATACGCATTACTCTTGATATAACTGGTACGAAACCTATATGCATACAAATCAATTCATAATACATTACTGTCACGTTTCAAGCAGCACAAGGCTCAGACATATACCTCATCTTGATCTTCCGCAACTTTGGGACGACGTCTTTCATAGCAAGCCTTTCATTAGGCGAGTCACTTGAACAGATAATCCCCAACTCCATGATGGAAGATAGACAGGCCCGTGATGAAATTAAGTAGTTATTTGGCCTTTCATTTCCATTTTCATCTTTCAGCAGATTCTGGTCCACAGTATCTAACAGGCCGGTAGGATTTGCATCATTTACCCATCGCCGCAAGCTTGATTCCCCCGTAAACATAGGATCAGTAGGCTTCTTTCTCGTAAAGATTTCTAGCAACAATATTCCAAAGCTATAGACATCTCCCTTTGTGGAGACTCTTCCTGTTGATGCATACTCTATACCACAAACACAAAAGGTAATACAAATCATATGTGATTGGATTAAATTTGAGGTGAAAGCTTGTAATTTTATTTACCTGGAGCAATATAGCCAATTGTCCCTGCCGTGCTTGCTGAGGTTACACTCTGGCTGACACCACTCAGCAATTTTGCGATGCCAAAATCACTGACATGTGCAGTCATTTCTTCATCAAGAAGAATGTTGCTCGGTTTTAGATCACGATGCAGTATAACCTCAGAATGGTGGTGATGAAGGTAGTCAATAGCTGAAGCTACATCGATTACGATGTCAATCCTTTGAAGCAAGCTCAAACAGTAATTATGGGAGTATAGCCATCTTTCCAGACTTCCATTGGGCATGAATTGGAATACAAGCGCCTTGAGATTCAAGTTGGAGCACGTGCTGATGATTCTAACAAGATTTCTATGTCGAACCATCCTCAAAGCACGACACTCAGCATCAAAACTCCTTGAAGCTCCTTCGATTTCCAAATTCAAGACCTTTATGGCAACAAGAAGGCCGTTCAGCATCAAAACTCCTTGAAGCTCCTTCGATTTCCAAATTCAAGACCTTTATGGCAACAAGAAGGCCGTCATCTAAAAGCCCTCTGTACATTTCCAAATTCAAGACCTTTATGGCAACAAGAAGGCCGTCATCTAAAAGCCCTCTGTACACAGAACCAATTGCACCCGTTCCGAGCAAGTTTATCTCGCTGAAGTTGTCAGTGGCACGAACAAGCTCGTAGTAGGAGATCAATCTATGCTCTGTAGGAGAGAGCATGATAGGAGGGGCTAGATTCTTGGGTTTCCTTCTACAAAATCTTAATAAGATGCAAAAACCAAGAAGAAGGACTCCGGAAGAAGCAATAACAGGGAGGATATACCATAGCAAATGCCTCCCCGAGTTAGAATGTGTGGAATCAAATGGATTACAAGGTGAAAATCCTAATCTGGGTGCTCCACATAATGCTGAATTTCCTTCTAAAGACACGGCACTGACGTTTAAAAAGGCACCGCCATTTGGAACCTTTCCTTCCAACTTGTTGAAAGATAAGTTCAGGACGCTGAGATGTCGGATTTCGACTAAAGACTCGGGTATAACACCTGAGAGCTTATTGCAAGAAAGGGTCAAGACATCAAGATTAATGAGATCACCAAATGATTCCGGAATGTGCCCGTCGAATAAGTTATATGATAGATCTAAATAATTGATCTTGAGATACTTTGGAGGACTTGGAAGGTTACCTGACAGCTGATTTACTGATATATCGAAGAAATATAAATCCATGTTCTACAATGTTAATGACAGCGATCCAGTGAGAAGGTTTTGTGATAGACCCAATTCATGTAGATGAGTCAAACTCCAAATAGTTTCAGGAATTTCTGAGGATAACCTGTTACCACCAAGTGTTAAGCCCTCTAGTCCAGTGATGTTGCCCAGCGAGTCAGGTATCGATCCAGAAAAACTATTGCTATCGAGGTAGAGTGTGTCCAAGTTGCTCAATCGGCCAAGCTCATGTGGGATGGAACCGTGTATTCTGTTACTATACAAACTTAGGAACTGCAGGCCTTGTAGCGTTGTGATTTCATACGGTATCGTTCCGATTAGCTCATTTTCGTCCAATGATAGATAGGTCAATCCAGACAGGTATCAAGCCATGTTAGAGTCCTCGAAAGGTTACCTACGTTATATGGAAGAATGCCATCCAGCTCATTTTTGCTAACTTTAACATGATCTAAAACTATGCAGTTCGAAAGCGATGCAAGGAAGTCCAGTGCTCCAGTTAATATGTTATCCTCTAACTCTAAATGGTAAAGTCGAGGCATGTTCCAAAATCGCAAACCCACTGGTCCAGTAAGACTATTATCGTTCAGTAGAATGAGTGTGAGTGATGACAAATTGGAAAGGGAAATCGGTATGGGACCAGTAATACCACCACATAAAGCAATCTGCAATCTAACGAGGTTCGTAAGACGACCCAAGTCCTCGGGAATATTCCCATGGAAGCTGCTGCCGCCAAGGTTTAATTCAGACAAATAAGTCAGGTTGCCTAAAGAGGATGGTATGGTACCCGTTAGATTGTTACCTCCAAGATACAGTATAGTAAGCTGCTTCATATTTCCAATCTCCGGCGGGATGTTCCTGTCAGGCGCCTAACCTTTTTGACCCAGCCAACATGAAAACAAAAGTGGGGCCCACAAAGGCGGGCCCCACAAGAAAAAAAATCAAATTCGGTGGCAGCCATTGTTGAGAATTTATAAAGGATGTGGGTCCCACAAATATTTTATTATTAGTGGCGGGTCCCACATATAATATTATATTTGTGCATAGTGTTTTCTCAAACACTATAAATAGGGCCCTAAACTCTTAAGGAAATCTCATCCCAGAAACAACTCCTCTTATAGAAGAGTAAGAGAAAACATAGAGAGAGTTTGTGAGAGTTCTTGGAGTGTATCTGATCAAGAGAGGGTGTTCTCTTGGATCTATTCTTTTGGGATATAAAAGAATTTGGCGTCGTCGTTGCACCGTGGAGTAGCTCCGAAGGAGTGAACCACGTATATCTGTGAGTACTCTGGTTGATCTTGTGCCTTTATTTTGTGTATTGCGTCTCCGTTAGAGGCGTTCTTATTGGGGTGTATCCTAACAACTGGTATCAGAGCCTGACTTAGAGTATATATATCTGCTTATCGTATGCTCTGTGGCTGCCACTAAAAGTGGATCCTCCACATCAGAAAATAAGTTAGATTAATATTTACTCTTTTAAGGCATTGGGCACTATTCACGTGTACGGCACTATTCACGTGTACGGCACTATTCACGGATACAGTACTATTCACGAATACGGTACTATTCACGGATACAGTACTATTCACGAATACGGTACTATTCACGAATACGGGAAAGACGTAATCTTTCGCCATGGGATCTACAGTTGAAGACAACAGGCTTCGAATTGAGAAGTTCGGCGGCCAAAATTTCAGGTATTGGAGGATGCAAATAGAAGACTATTTGTACCAGAAGGATCTCTTCCTACCCCTCCAAGGAGAGGCGGGGAAACCTGAGAAGATGGACGACGATAAGTGGAAGGTGCTCGATCGTAAAGCACTTGCCACCATCAGGCTCAACCTTCACCAGCATGTGACTTACAACGTCTCGCATGCGACCACCACCAAGGAGTTGATGGAGGCCTTGGAGGCGCTGTATGAGAAGCCGTCTGCTTCAAATAAGGTGTACCTGATGAAGAAGCTATTCAATCTCAAGATGCAGCAAGGAGCTCGCGTGGCGGACTTCTTTGAACGGAATTTTCAGGTTTGGTGCAACAGCCTTGCTGCAGTAGATCTAAAAGTTCGACAACGAGATCCAAGCTCTTCTGCTACTTTTTCTTGTCTACCAGCATTCATGGGAAAAATATGGTAATGCAGGTGAGCAACGCTAATGGCAATGACAAGGATGAAAGCTCGACACAGTGGTTGGGGATTCTGGATGAAGAATCTCGCCGCAAAGTCTCAGGAGCTGAGCGCTCTAGCAGTGGGAGTGCTCTGCATGTCGACGGTACTGAGGGCGTGCACAGAAGAAGGGTAGGGGACGCGAGGCCAATCAAAATCCAGAGGGAAGTCTAAAGGGCCTAACCCCGAATGGTTACGGGTGAAGGAAGTGCTTCAGATGCGGAAAGAAGCCACTTTGCACGGGACTGCAATTACTGTCAGAATCAGCAGGGATGATCGGGCTGAGTGCAGCCATCTCATGCACGAGACGGATTCGGATGCACTTCTCCTATCCACTTAGACAGTACAAAAGGTGATTGCGTGGTCAATGACTCTGGCGCATCTTTCATGCAACCTCACACAAAGCTGCTTTCATCGTTCGTGAAGAAGGACTTGGGAAGTTATCTTGGCGACGACAACGCTTGTAAGGTTTCTGGGAAGGGAATTTTACCTTCAAAATGGAGGGCGGACCACCTTGACGCTGATGATGTTCGGCAAGTACCAGATCTCAGCGAAATCATTATATCAGTCGGGCAACGACTGACCTTCCGGTTACAGGAGTATCCTCGACAGAAACTGAAGTGCCAAGGTGCGCCTGGGGTGGCACACGGCAAACGCTGAGGTCTCTCTACATCGCCAAGGGAAAGGATCGACACTTGCTTGCGTGCAGGCCAAGCATCATCATCATCATTTCGGCATGGACTTTGGCATCGAACGACTTCACATGAGGCGAGACAGGGATGCAGATTAATCGCGTGAGAGAGGCTCCGGTCTGAACCAAGACATCTGACTCTGGTGAGGGACTACATTCTAGGGAAACAAAAGGAAGGGAGCTTCAACAGTAGACCGGACCGGCTCAAAACTGCAGGAAATTGGGAGGTTGTGCAACCGACTGTTGGACTGCGCAAGTTTCCCATCTGTTGTCAACTCTTACCTCGCTCACCCTCTCTCTACTTCGACTCCCCTCCACGACGCCACATTCCGCCGTCCGCCTCCTCTTCGATGAAGGTCTGCATACGCTCGGGAGACTGATCACGTCAGAATAATGGCCTCCGAAATCTCGAGTGGGAGTAGGCGGATAGAGAGAACAACGAGTCTAGAAGCAGACAAACTTAAGCTTCGAGATACACTCTCCGAGTTGTAACCTTATTGGTTCTTCTATGATAAGATCTCGAGAGAATGCGAGTATCACCGCGCAGGAGTTTCTCTCCCGGACGATTGGTTGGATTAATCCTCGTCGTGGCTCGTTGGATTCCTTCGTGAATCGGATCGACTGAGGGTGACCATCGCCCATAGCACCGCCTGTCTAGCGATCCGGACGGATACGGTGTGTGCGGAACGCATGCGCAATCGGCGCACTTACTTTGGTGGGGCGGGTGGGTGACGGGGCCTATATAACCCTGTCGCGGTAGCAAAGATCGAAACCAGGATTTGCCCAACGCAGCCTTATTTCGAGAGAGCTGCTTGAGACTGCTGCGCAGACCGCACATAGAAGTCAAGAGCTGCGTCTTTGTTCCTGGAATGGACTGAAGTTGTATCTTTCGTGTTATATTTTCCATCTTGTGATATATAAGTTGTGTAAAGATCTAATAATGGACACGGACGGAATGTCTAGTTGTGGCTAGAGGCATCATTAACGCTCGCATATATTGTTGGTAGACTAAGCCATGAATTGAGTCCATACTTAGTGTCGGGTTGACCATGAAGAAATCGCGCAACGCTGTATTCACAGCTTTGATCCAAATCGCAGAAAAGAAGCTTCTTCGTTGTGACAGCGCAGTGGGCCAGACGCGATGATCTCGGCAGTGAGATGCGATGCGTCGCGGTAAGCGCGGATTGCAATCCCGGTGTTCGGGGGAGAGAGGATCGAGTGCCGGTCTCGACCAAGCAAAGTTCGAGGAGTACGTGTCCTCGTCCGGCTCATATCTCCCCCGCGAGTCCGATGACGAGTCGGGTTCTTCGGATCCGGGCAGAATAGCCTCGTTGAGTTTGAAGTGCTCGGGAAGCGCACGAAGTTATAGCAAAACCCAAACTTGGACGCCGGAAGTTGGTGAAGTCAGCTTGAAGTTTACCCGCATCCCTCTTCATGAATGGTCAACCCTTGACTCTCGACAGTGGAGGAACCGGTGCAGGACGCCGGATGCTATACTGTTCCATGAGAGTCTGTTAGGTCGACTTCTTTCAAAGAGACAGAGAGAGCCGACCTCAAGCAGAGGGTCGTCAGATGCTCACATGCCGGGATGCACAGGCGCAGCATCGATACGGGCGGATGGAGTCGTAGGACGGATCTCGTCGGGCATTTCGCATAAGCACGAGGTTTGATAAGCGCCAGAGAAGTGAGGCAACGAGGCCTGAACCGCAATGAAGGCGACTCTTCCAAGCCGCCAGAGATACTTGTAACTGCCATGAATGTCGCTTCTATACCGGAATGGACTTGAGTCTCGGAACTGTCGCGAGGAGCGTCAGAGGATTCTGTAACGATGAGGACCGCGCGATGTCCAGCGCAGGCACGGCTCTACAGCGCTAGGACCGCCAGCCCAGTAGAAAGCTGCGCCGCAGATGCTGTGATTAATTGTGTGAGGAAGAAGCCGTGGGCAGACGCCATTGGCAAAGAAACGACAAAGTGATGAGAAAGCCTCAACTTTGATGAGAATGGACTTGGGAGCTAAGGTAAGTTCCGAACATTGAAGTAGCGACTCCGGCCAGACAGAAAAAGCAAGGCATTGCTGTAGCCACCATTTCTGTTAATGGAAAGTTCTTTAACCGGTCCGGGAGTGTCAACCAAGTCGGTCAAAGACTAGAGATACTTGTCCTCCGGGAGATCAATTGCACGGGGTCATCGCACGCAGGTACAGAAAATCAAGAGCTGTTATTGAGGCCTTCGGGGTTGTGATCCAGTTAGCGGTGACGCGAGAGGCAAAGTCAGATTCAGCGGGAATTTGATTTTTCTTGACGTTTCGTACCCGTCGTCAGTTGGACCATCGAATCCGAACTGTTGCTTGACAGCTGTTTATGTGGGAGGCTGGGTCGAGAAGCCGCGATCCCGAACTTGGGAGCAGTCAACATAGATGGATGGAGAGCCGGCTAATATCCTTTCCATGGTCCGAGCTATGTAGCGAGGGAGGAATCAATGACCTCAAAGGCAGCTGCGCGCACCTATGCAGGCATATTGAAGTCAGTAGGAGCACGCTTGAAATATTCTTCGCGAAGAAGAGCGGCGAGGAGTTTGTTTGTGATGCGGTGGGTAACCTTTGAAGCCCAAATGAGAAATGGCGCGTCAAACTCGGATGGGAGTTAACATTTGGCATTTGATAGTGATGCTTCTGTTGGCTCGTTACCTAGGAGGTATTGGGCTGACCTGACACCACAACGATGATATGGTTACTCTGGACTGTCCATACATGGGAAGGGCGAGGGTTCGTATATTTCAGTGCCATGGGGGTACGAACAGATAGACCACCAAGGAGCAGCTGGATACAAGTGCACTCCGAGAATCTGAGAGATTCATCTATTGTGTTCCTGTTCTCTAATCTCATTGATTTTATCCGGGCTTGTTGGATGGAGGATTATGTGTCGGAATGCGAATTGTCAGGGCTTTAATAGGCGGCCCGCATTGAGAAGGTCCCCCAGAA